AGAGCAGAAGCTGGAGGCTCACAGTGACTGGGTTCGAGATGTAGCCTGGGCTCCGTCCATAGGTTTGCCAACAAGTACCATTGCTAGCTGCTCACAGGTGAGTCTTCTGTTGGAGTGATGGAGGCAGGCTCTCAATGCCCTCACTTTCATTTACTTCTTTCCCCTTTTCTCTAGTAAAGGAGTAGTAAGGATAGAACTGCTGTAACAGGCCTTCTGGGCAATCCTTTGCTATATCTGGGTCTGGGTATAAGAGCCTTTGATTTCTGTTCCTCCCAAACTTGGAAGCCCAGTGGAAGCATTTCTGGACGAAAGTTTGTGCGTGTGTGGTTCTGTACCAAAGACCATCTTTTATTTTGAAAATCATGAGCAGCATGGTCTCACTACGAGGAAGACCTTCAAACTAATGTAATGTTTTAGTGTCTCTGGATCAAATTCACTGAACTTCCAGCTAAAAATACATTTTCTAATAACTGGCATTTTTAATCAGCTCTGATGACCTCAATCTTCATATTGACTGTAGTGTCCTTGCTGCTAATAATTCTGTAAATGCTTTTTTTTTTTTTTCTAATAGCAAGAAGACTACTTGGTAAGCTGCTAACTTGCTGTCATGTGACTGGAAAGCAAAATCTCATTCTGGGGGAAAAAAAATCTAGCTGATACCTGTCTATTTTGGGAGGCTCTTCTCTGGTGTTTGCAAGTCATCTTTTCTGTGCAGTTTTTCTCATCAGAGCGCTGTACTCCTGTCTTGCTTTTAGCTATAGTAAGAAAATAGCCCCTTTGCTGTGCTGAGCAAAGACACAGGTAAACACGTCTAGGGTTCACGTTGGGGCTGTGATTTGGAAGTGTTGCCATAAGTGCAATCAAGGTTGTTTTTTCTGTGTTACAACTAGTGATCTAACCACCTCGGTCTCCTTGCTCTTGTAGGATGGCAGAGTGTTTATCTGGACGTGTGATGATGCCTCTGGAAACTCGTGGTCACCAAAGTTGCTACACAAGTTCAATGATGTCGTCTGGCATGTGAGTTGGTCCATTACCGCAAATATTCTTGCGGTGTCTGGAGGAGACAATAAAGTGAGTACTGCTGCCTTGACTCTTACTCCTGCATGCCGTATTTTCAGAAGAGCAGTGATGAGACAGGCTCTTGTTGCTGTTTAAGTTAAGACTGTTGTAGATTCTCCTTTGCTGCAATGGTGGAAACTTTTTCCTTTTGACTTACCAAGAGGGAAGGCAGACACTAACCTTTGGCAAACTACTTGCACTGCATTCTTAGTCCTTACTGGAGATTGGAAATGCAGTTTAACTTTATTCTGTAGGGTACTAACAGAATTCACATACTCTCCTTTATCACTGGGTGATAACTCAGTACGCAGCAACTGGATCACTAGAACAATGCTGCGATGCTTCCGTAACTGTAGACTATCACCAAACTAGTGATGTGATGGTTGCAAGGAAATAGGAAACTGAGAATGTGTTAAGGCTGAAACTTCCTCCTGATCTGTTTTTGAGGTGACGCTATGGAAGGAATCAGTAGATGGACTGTGGGCGTGTATCAGCGATGTCAACAAGGGCCAAGGAGGGGTGTCTGCCGTTACAGAGGGGCAGCAGAACGAGCAGTGATGCATGAGTGAATGTTCAGCAGCAGCAAGTGATCACTATACCTGATTTGCAATGTTTCTTGAACCGGATGAGAACTGATTTTATCTAAACTGGACATGAACATGGGAAACAATTATCCAATTTTATAAGCACTCTGTAACTCTTACTAGGAGGCTACAATATGTTGGTAATCAGCCTTAAAGGACATTCCCTTAAATTTAAGGTAAAGAACATAGCAAAGTACTGTGCCTTATACTACTCCTTGATGCTGTAGAAATTATACCCTGCTTTTCTGGTTTAGGGATCAAATTTAATTGGATGTGCTGTGGACTTCAAGCACTTGAGTAGGAATAGGAGGAGGCTATCAGAGGGGTGAGGTGTGAACTCCTTTGTGCAAGGGGGACAAATACTCTGTCCCTTCAAAGTCCAGCACTTTATGTCAAGTGAGGGGAAGGGCTGTTGGAGTTTTTGGCATTAGATGACAGCATGCTAGCTAGCCCTTCTGGGTATAGTGAATGGTGCTTAGAGCTTCCTGAAAATAATGTGCTTGGATGTATGAAAGGCTCTGTGCTTTCCTGAAGCTGAAAAGGAGTAGTGGAATGCATATGTCTTCTGCTTTACAATAATCTCAAACTTGGTCATTTAACCAACATCAATAAATCAAACCATAATTTGAAGATTATTTTTTTTTTTTAGCCACACTTCTGTACTGTACCTCAGGTTTCTTTTGTTGAGATACCCACAGAATAAAATCCTATTGGTTAAAGCCTGGTGTGCTGTATTTAATAATCTTTTCACAGGGGCCTTGTCAAGGCTGTCTACAGTCTACCTTCAGTCAAGCCAGTCACATTGTCCTCCCATCTGTGCTTTGTAATAGCTGGGAAGGTATTACTCCACTAGCACCTAATGCTGTAGAAGATCACATTTTCCCTTTATTCTTAAGTTGCACTGAAGCAACACAAGTGATCAATTCACAGCCTTCTTTCTTCTCCAAGGTAGCGGTTCCTAAGTATGCTCTTTGTTTTGGCACAGTCAACATAATATATCCCCTCTTCTAGAAAAACAAACCTCATTTTATGATCATTATCTATACTAGCCAAATAACATCCTAGTTGCTCTCACAGAAACACATACATGAATTATCTTTCTGTATACCAACAGAAGTATGCAACATCCCCATTCTTGTTTAAAGGCACTGTAGCCTTACCCAAAAAAAGCAATCAGCTCATCTAGAAATTAGCATTACAATCAAACAGTTCCATTTCAAGTTATACAGTAAAGCATTATGTTCAAGCTGTTTTCCATTTCTACTAAGAAAACAAGCTGCACAGGCAGTCTTTCATGCCAGTACCATATTCCCTTGTTCTTCTTTGGTACAGAGGATGTGGTCATCCAAGAGGGTTTTGGGTTGGCTTTAACTGCTGTGGAAAACTAAAAAAGCTTGAAATCAAGAACATTAGCTCCAATAAAGAGGCTCAAAAATTAAACCTCATTCTTAGTTAGTGTTACCACATTGTATTCTAAGGAAAAAGGCCACTAACTTCTTAAGTACACAAGACAAGTTTTTGCCCGTGGGAGTATTAGGTTCCACAATTCACCATGTTAAAAATTGTCCTTAAATTTTATGAGTTTTATACTTAAGAATTCAAGCCTACTTAACAGCAAGGCCCAGTTCAGCCTGCTATTCCTTCATCCTTAAGATGAAATGTATTAAAAGGCTTTGAAGTAATGATCAAAGTATCTCCAACAATTACAATTGATAAAAGATTATTTTAAGAGTTATCCAATTTTTTCATTGCAAATATAAGCATTAGGTGAAAGTTTTTCAGTTGCTCTTGAGAATGACCTTCATGGTTTTGGATCTCTTCCTTCTCATACTTGCGGTCAGGATTGGGGAAAAGAAAGAGGAAAAAGAACATGCTCAACCTAAGTTTCACACAGAAGAACTTAAAATTGCCGCTCGGTCTGATTATTTGAAATAATCAACCAGAAAGCGACCACATGAGACACAGAAGAGGAAAGCTCTTAAATCATGTTTGCAGAAGAAAACAAAATGGAACTGCATCCCCAAATAAAACTAGTTTTCCAGCTCCACAGATGTGCTAAAGATACATAGTCTTACTTGGCCAGAGCACAGTTAAGATTGTTACAAATAGCTCCATGTTACATTTTCTCCAACAACAAATGTGATTTAACTAAATTCATAGAGTCATAGAATGGTTTGGATTGGAAGGGACCTCAAAGATCATCTAGTTCCAACCTCCAGGGACACCCTCCACTATATATAAATTCCTCCTCATCTTTCCATCTTTGCACATTTCCCCATGCCTTCCTCAATCCTACTGCTGGAAATTTCTAAGGCTGCAGTACAAAATGGATCCTACAAATTAGCCATGTCATTCAAGTTAAAGTAGAATACAAGCAACAGAAGTTGCAAATTTGTCATCCTTCATCATACATTCCTTCTTTTCTCCCACTTTCTCAAGTAAAATATAAAAATTAAAAAAATCCCAATTTCCCTTCATGGGATTTTTCTAGGCCCTCAGCCATTGCTACTAATACTCAGTGAAGTTTTAAGGATTTGTTAATATTCCAGTTTTAGAGTAATGGAAACCAAGTTTCCTAGGTATCATTTTCAGTTTCAGTCTTCCAGCAAAAGACAACAAAATCTGGTAAAACAGAACCTGGGAAAGAATACAGGAGGAGAGAAAAAATGCACTTAAAGGCAAAAACGAGAAACATGGCTGTCACTACAGGTCAACTTCTCTATTTCTGTTGCCCCACCTCAGATCATAAAGAAGGGTTTGGGGCTTTTCCTTTTTGAAAAATTCATGTTACAGTTATTTATTCATTTTTAAAAGAAACAATGTTAATGCCACAGGAAAAGGAAACTTTCACTTCATTCCCTACATCTACATAAAAATAAGCACAGTAACAGATCTATGCATCGTTTTCACTTTTTTGTTGATTTTGTTATCTTACTAGCAGGCCAAGTTTCCAAGGAATTTAAATACATATCAGATTGCATTTCCAGGAATATTGGAGAACAGAACAAATATTCCACTCAATATATAAAGTGCTTCAGAAAGCAGTGGTTTGGTGAAGCCACAAAACTAACCAGGTAAAGTTTCAGAGCATTTTCAGCTTTTGCCAGTTTTCTTGTCTAATTCCTCTCCACTAACCTGTCTGTTCCAGTTACTGTACCTCACAGTAAGCAATAGTCTCTTTTGGACAGGATATTTTTACCTTTAGCATATAGAAATCATGTTTGCTTTATACATCCATCTTTAGAAATAATTTCAGGTCATTCAAGTCAGGAGAAATATTTTCACTGGATCTAGATTCAATTAAATGCAGAGGTTGTAAAATATGTTTAATTTTTCAACTTATGTTTTCAGGTTTGACACTCTGCCTCAGGAGGGTAATCATGTTTCTCAGAAGTACTCTGCTGGGAATTACTCTTTTCAGCATCCTCTGGACAGAAACTACTCTGGCTGGCTCTAGTTTTTTAAGCCCTGAATATAAAAAAACACAGGTAAAAAAATGCAGGAAAATACCTTCTCAACATTATCCTCCTCTATAAGTCCTTAAAAACAATATTCTTTACAGTGTTCAGAGAAGCTTTTATAAGATACAGTTTCTGGAAGAGGAAGGAGTTATTCCAGAGAACTTCTGTAACAAACCAGTAGCATTGTATTCATGCTATGAGAATACGTATCTAATCTCATTCACTAAGAATTAATAATCTGAAAAAAAAGAACAATTGAAGAGAAAGCATTAATTTAAATAATTTGTTAGCATCTTCTTTGGAAATTAACTGTAAGGTGCTTGTTCTTTAATGACCCCTTAAACCAAATACCCATTAAAGTGAATGCAGCAATAGTAGTACAGTTATTATGGGCCTACATATCATACATACATAAGTGTATGATGCCTTCAGCTAATTTGCTGCATCTGCGTTAATGACAGGTTCTAACTTCCCCACTACAGACTAGTTTGATTATGGAAAGAATAGCTATTATTTTGCTTGCTTTCCAGCAACAAAGGTATCCAAAAAACCCCACAGCACAATTACATCGTCGAGACACAGAAGGTTTTTGGGAAACAGATGAAGCAGGGGCAGAAGATGACAGAAGCAGTATTGAAATTAAGGTTTGTATTTATTCTTCTTCCTCACATACAAGTTTAAGGGGTGGGGTTGGGTTACACGATTTCTGTCACAGGAGGCTGTACAAATTAAAACTACAATCATATTTAACTGGAAATGCAAATAGAAAAGGGCAAGTGAAAACTGCCAGCATTGATAGTATGAAATGATTTAAAATTAGCTGCAGTAATTCAGATCACAGTCTACTATTTAGGATTCACTTACATTTCAGAACTAACATAAAATAATGTGAGTTTCCTGTAAAGTTTTCTTTCCTCCAGTTTATTGTGCTGTTTGGTCTGCAGTAACTGTACACCCTGTTTCTCAGATTTTGATTACATGTCTCAGCACTAATAAGTAAATAGATGGAATAACTTTTTATACCTCTTGCTTATCATTGTTCCCGTGAATAAAATGAACTTGTCGTGTCCTTGTCCAGAACTTGTCTGTTAAACTCTGTCTTTTAATGTTTTTATAGTTCAATGTTCCTTTTGAAATTGGTGTCAAGATAACAGAAGAAGAATATCAAGAATATGGACAAGTGCTGGAGAAGATGCTAGGGGACATGCTTGAGGGGACTGCTAAAGGTAATGCCAGCCAAGTCATAAAAGCAGAGCTTTAAAAAAAAAAAACCAAAAACCCACCAAACAAAACCACCAACACCACAAACCAAACAACTTTTGTCATCTAATTTGTCATGTAAGACATTCAGAGCAGCATTTCAGAAGTGATTGGGACTAAGTAGAACCTAAGAGAACCACTAAGTATCTAATGTTTGGAAACCGCTAGCTGAACTTTGAAGAATCACATTGAAGTATATTAGGCAGAAGGGGAAGGCTTCCTTTCCTTACACTACTAATCTTTTTTTTCCCCCTTTGCCCTCAAATCCCAGCAGTTTCTTATTTTCTCAGCAAAGATCTTTCATGATTTTCATGGTGAAAAGTATTAAAAACATTATTGTAACCAAGACAGTTCTAATAACCAGCTCCCACCACAAGCTGCCTGGTTTTTACGTTTACAGCTTGTCATACTTCATTTGCACTCACCCATGGTTAAGCTCATCTTTATGAATCTTCTGTTTTAATTTATGTCAGTCTTAATATCTGCGTTACACATTCTAACTACAAATTACTTCATGCTTCCACTTTCACCCTGCTTTTTAGGCTCCTAAGGTATCCCCCAAGCTCCTCTCTTCATTTTCCTCTGAATTCCTTCTGAAGGGCTACAAATATGGCCATTACACAAATAAAACAGTCTTATGCATATATGATATGCCCTTATAGACTGTAACTATGTGAAAGCCACCTTATCTTCTGCCTTTGGTTCAGCACTTGCAGAACTTTCAGATTATTGAAACAGGATTTTCAGAAAAATATTAAGACTATCAAAATAATCTTTATCTTTTGCCTTTTTAGAAACTCAGATGAGAAACTGAGGCAAGATGAAGGACAAATACAGCACTAGATGGCCTGTTTTGTTTTAAATTTTACTTTAAAATGAAATTATTACTAATTTCACAACTCTAAAGAAGAAGGAAGTATGTGAACCTGAACAGTTTGCCCTGACAGACTTTGGAATGGATTATCTTTTAAGGAAGAATACAAGACCTAGAGTCAAAAAAAAGAAAGGGCAAGGTTAATCACAGGCTGACACATAGGCTTATTTTCTTATTTTATCTCTTTTCCTTAGTAAATATAGCGATTATTCTAAATGACATGTTTGAAGGCTATATGAATCCTCCCTAAAACTGGTGGAAACGTCTTCTTATGCTTCTGTACACATATATAATAGAGAATAAAGCTTATGCTGAAACTGCAGTTACTTGTGGGGTTGTTTTTTGTTTGTTTGCTCAAGAGTAGCTCAAACTAGATAGTTCATGTAATAAACTACATGAACTAGATGGACAAGGACCCAACTTTCAGTTGCCAAATTAGCTTAATTGCCAAGGGATTTGTTAATATGGAACTTATCAAGGAAGCCATCTAATATCTCTTCCAGTTAAAAAAAAACAAACCAAAACTGGAAAACTAATTTTCTTTTTTTTTTAACTTGCTTGGATTCAGAACCATATCCATACTGGTGCATACATCAGAAGTACATGGTAATTTTTCATGCCTTCAAATGCATAAACCAGTATGCTCCAATACAGTACACGTTCTTTTCTGTACTTCAGCCCATACAGACATCTGATAATCCATGAACTTTTTTTAGAATTTCCTCCTGAAGACTATAAAGTACTCTTTAACAGCCTAATGCAATAAACGTAAATACAACTACATTTTTATTAGACAAGGTCTCTTTTCCTGTCACAGAATTAATCACCTAAATGAATCACCTTTGATGGCACTAGCACAGTCTTGTGCTATACTCCACCAGAGGGCAAGAGAGAAAGTGAAGGGGGAAACTGATTAAAAAAGACAAGTAAACAGTTCTTAGAAGTCTAGCCCAGGGTAAGGATGTGGACACATCCTTTTTGGAACCTGCAGAAGTTTTGAAAGGGAAGAGTCAGAAAGAGCACTGAAGTCATATTTATTACCCTGAACTCTAATCATCACTTCCACAACAGATCTACTGCTTGTGTTATTTTTATATTTAATGTTTTCCAAGCATATTCCATCGACACAGTCAGCCAATAAGCTGCCAAACAGTACAGGAAGGAAACTGTCAGCCAGAGGTACTGCATAAATCCTTTCCTAAAATAAGAAGCACTGTAGTTAGGATTGCTGTTTCTAGAATTCTGACAGAGTTACACAGGATACAGTCTACTCACTGAGAAGAAAAAATATGGCTGAGCTAACCTACAAAAATTGAACAAAAATTGAGGCACAAGCTATTATGCTGTGTTACTTATCCAGCTTACTGAGCAGAACATTCTAAGGTTGTCTTAAAAAAACCCAACCGTTTCCTGGTGATCTAGAGAAAAAACTTTGGACCTATAAATGTGTGCACTATTTTCTCCTTTGCAAATATAACATCAGCCTCAAGAGGGTAGTATAACCTAGTAGCGCACAACGATTATAAGAGCAAAACAGATCTCTGGTGCTTTCTACCCTGCTAGAAGAAACTGATGCTCCCTATTTTCTTCCAAGTATCCTGCTCAGAGAGATTTTTTGTACAGTCTCTCTTGCTTTGGAGGCAGAAGAATAGGTAAGCAACGCAGTGAATTCCACAGAAGTGCTCCTGGAACAGTGCTATGAGACTGTGGCTGCCAGGAAAGCAACGCCTGAAGAGCAAAGCACTGGACTAGCGTGGTTACAACTTGACTGCATTCACAACTTCTCTGGGCAACCTGCTGCAGCGTCTCACCACCCTCATTATAAAAAAATTCTTCCCTTTATCTAATGTAAACCTACCCTCTTTTAGTTTAATACCATCACCTCTTGTCCTATCACCACATCCACAGAAGGCAATTAGCACCAGATTCCCGATTTCAACAGTTTAAAGTGTCTAATATATTAAAGAATCCTTGCATACTGAGGCAGAAGTGATTTAGTTCAGTATTTCTGGTGTATAATTATTTGTCCATCTCTACACTTCCCTTAAAAGTATGTGTACATCATGGAATACATGCCATTTTCAATGCAAAACTTTAAGTGCCAACTATTCAGGAGACTTTATACCAAGTTTGATTTGCTTTAGCATCTCCTTCCATTTGAGCTGCAAACCAAAGCGGGAAAAATAACCAAGATTTCAATAAAACACTTTCAAGAACAGTAAATTGCATAATTATCAGAATTAGCTGGCCCACAGATATTTGGGTTGGCATCAGTAAACTAAACTAGCATCAATCACTGAAAGATTCCTAAAATTCTTTTTGCCCAGATTGACATGAGGATGGGTTGTTTTGTTGTTGTTGTTTTTTTTAAAAAAGGAGGGCAATATTAGCTCTCACTGATTATACTGTTCTTGTGGTATAATTTGCTCTGGCACAGAAAAATAAAATAACCTATGTTACTCCTACAACATCTGCTCTAGGATTTTTCCAAAATGACTATGCAATCTATTCGAAAAAATAAGCTAGATCTCTACCTCTGACACCATACAGGTAATTTCAAAACTGGCATTCTTGTTATCTTATTTCTGAGCAAAGACATCAAGGTAAAAAACATGTAACAGAAGCTGGGTAATTACCGGGGTATTCACTACGACTGGTTGTCCTAACCCAAATACTGCATACAACGAATGCGAAGAATGTGACCTAGCCATGATGCAAGAAATCATTTAATAGTAACAACAAAAAACCCAAATCAAAAGCCAAAGTAAAAGCATGGGTTTTACTCTGCCAACCCACATCCAGTTTCTATTCACTTGGTAATAATGTTCCTAATAAAGTCAATAACTTGAAACTCATCTTTCTCCTCAGATTTCAGCAACCAAAAGGAATGGACTCTGGCGGGGCTGAAGAGCAAAACAACCCCTAAAACAATATTCCTTTATGTGCTTGGTAACAGTATGACAAAGCACTCATATATGACCTGGAGCCATGCACAAAGTTACACAAATATTTGATTATGTCCTTAAATATTATTTGGATGGGAGGAGGAAAGGGAAGAGTGCACTTCTGTGTTAGTCCCAAGTCATTCACTCAGACTTCCCTAACCAGAAACTATTTTGGGATCAGTCACCATTCCAGTATTACTTAAGTGCCCAAAATTAAGATTTTTTTTTCATGCTGGAGCTGAATATGCTTATTTCTTTATGATTTGTTCTTACTATAATTTGAGATAATGAATTAAATATAAAATTAAAAAAAAAAAAATCACATTGGGAAAAGGCAAATGCAGCTGCCATTGATTACAGCTGAAGGTGACTCCATCTCCCTACATTGAAGAGGATGGAGTATTACTTTTCCAAAGCCCTTAAGAAAAGTAAAAGTTGTCTTCTTCCACTAATTTGAGATGATTATTCAATTGTGAAAGTGAAATAAGGTGACTAATTAAGCTATAAGCAACCCACTTCCTATTAAAAAAAAATGATAGTAACATCACAAAGAAGTAACAATCAAGACTCCCTCAGAATAAGCAGCTAGTATTTCATATGACTTTAAGTGTTTAATTCTTTATAGATTAAGGAAGTGGAAATATCTAGTCACTTCAACTGTAATAGTTTCTCAATCTAAAGAATGCTCTAATGCCCCACCCCCACCCCGTAATGGTACATCACTAGACTGGGCTTTACAAAGACAGGAAACTCCTAAAGTAAGAAACAGACTAAAAACATTTCATCCTCTTAATTTAAAATTTTTCAGAAAGATTCTACCATTGAGGTCCCACAAACGTTTCAACATAAACATTCATCAAAGACATACTCACCACCCTTTTTTTCTTTTGTTCATCTACAAATGCAGGCTTTGGAGAGGCTTCTTCAGTGACTGCGCTTCGACAAGTCACAGGATGTCCTTTTTTTGATTCAGAACAACAACGGGGCAGCTGCAGGTTCGTTCACCTCCTTTTGTTTTCTGTCTGAACACAGTTGCAATTGTCACCCTTCTTGAAAATTTGGAATGACACAGACACTTCTTGGGGTGCAACCGAGCTTACAAGACTTCTTCCAGACTGCAGACTATCAGCCTGAACTTCACCTGGTGGAGATACCTCCTTTCGGAGCTGTCCCCCCCGCCTGAACACACTCTGGAGTGCCGTAAGGCATATTACACTGGATCACTGATGCTCTGATTTCTTCTTCCTGAGATCTCCAGCCTGTTGTTCTCTCGAGTCGCGTTTATTTTCTGTTCTTTGCACGACATTTACCTCATCACACTCAGGTTTATTTTCAAGCTAGACAATAAACAAAACAGTCTATTCTTAGTAACATGTTTAAGCAGTTTTTAACAACTAAACAGATAGTATGTGAGTTAGGGGAGAAGAACAACCTAAAGGATGAGAACTTCCCCCCCCTCCCAAGAAAGGGGAAGGTGCTATAAAATTGCATCTTGCCAGTACGATAACTGGAAATGGAGCAGGCTGATTCCCTAGAGTTTTGCTCTCATCACACTTATGCTTACAATAAAACGTATCAGCATTTGTCTACCTGACTGGAAGTATTAAGTGACCAGACATCTCAGGATACTAAGCAAGGTTCAGACAACATTATAGAATTATACAGATTTAAAAAGGCTAAATAGTTAAAGAGAATACAATTGGTTTTGGCCAACACAAAACACAAACTCAATGAATGTTATGGTTTCATAGCCTCACTTGTTAAGATAAAAATCTATTAGAAAGCCTGAGGGTCTATAGAAAACAACCACCTACAGTAAGCTAAGCAAAAAGAAAAAAAAAGTAGCTCTGCTGCAATAAAGGATTTTTACATCAGCTTTATAGTTACAAATGAAGTACTTTCTCAATCCGTTATGTTCATTCTTGCAGTTTGTTACAAGAAAGGGAAGTGAAGATTTGAAAGACTTCCACAAAGAAACATTGCTTCATAACTAAAAATAGGAGTGACAGGAACAGCACTCGAAATCTTTAAAGTGAGTGAACAAATGACATTCGATTGCCCTCCAAGAGTTATTAACTGGAAAAAAAGGAAATTATGTCTGAAACCTGAAATTTTCATTCACACGTGCATCTACAGGCTTGTTTCAATAGCAGAACTACAAGATGTCACTGATAACAGAAGTTCTGTGGGACTGAATGATGGCAAACAATGGTACTACATAATTATATACATATATATTTAAAGACTATGATTAAATCTTTGTACTTTTAGACACAGGTAACCATTAATTGATAGGATTTAGCAAAAAGTTTAAGTTACAGACAAAAATCTAAAGCATACGCATTGTTTGCTGTTGGCATGAGGATGTCAGGCCAGC